TGAATCAAAATATTATAAGGTGTGTAGTTTTACCTGTGATAAAATAAACCTTGTTGTAGTCTATTACTCTTGCTTTCAAAAAGTAAAGTCTGGTATAAACTGAGTCTAGTATAAACAAGAGAGAGAGAGAGACAGAAAGAAGGTGAGACATGAGTGAGAGATTTCCCTGGGAGGTCATTACACTAGAATGCATTTTGGTAAAATGTAAATATGTTCAATATTCAGACATTTATTTCTCCGTAAATCAAGGCTTTGCATTTAATGCACTGTTTTAGAAACAGGATCTTTAAAAATGGCTTAGTATTTTAGAAAGAGTTTAGAAATATGAAGTGTATGAATAAAATGGAATCATATTTATACTTTTATAATAACTTAAGAAAATTTAGATAATAAATATTAGCTTTCTCAAGCATGTATCTCTCAAAGAACAGGTAAGTGTGGCTACTGAAACAAGGCCTCGAAGAACATAAAGAAAACAGCTTTAAAATATGAAATGAAGGTTATATACCTTACTAGTAGCTTGCTCAGATGCTTCAACAGGAAGGAGTATTTTTATTTTTAATCCAATGAATTGGAATGAGTTCCTATTCTTGGCTCAGTGAATAGTAACATATAAATACAAAAGTTCCACTGAATCACTTCCAGAAGGTATTCTTAGTCCAAGTTTACAATGAGGGTTTCTCGAGTTTGCCAGGCTTCACAGAGGAAATATAATTTGATCAATAAGCAGAATTTTGCTAAGAGAAGTAAAGAAAGAAGATGAAGACAGGTGGAATATTGGGAATCCAAGCTTTGCAGATCATGATAGAATTTTGCATTTTATCCTGGAGGTGAAATGGAAGTCATTGAAGAATTTTGATTGGAGGAATGACATTTATTGAATGCTTACTACATGCACAATTATTATACCATTATTTCATGCAACATACCCCTAATCAATCTTATAATGTAGGTACTGTTATCACACTCATTTTATAGGTGAGGAGTCTGAGGTGTTGAAAGGTGAAGCAGCAAATTACAGCACTTCAAGTTCTGGAGCTAGTTCAACACAGCAATTTGATACCAGAGGTGGCTCTCTTAAATTTGTGCTACGCTTCTTTTAACATTGATGGAAATATTATATGGACTAGCAAGAGAAAGAGGAGGAAGAGGAGACTGGAGTGAGGGAGATCCCAAAGGAGAGCCCAAAGACAAGGCCAGACACTAGAAATACTTTCTGTGGAAAGAGGGTGGGTAGGGCTTGCACTAATTGGCTGTCACTGATGAAAAGGAGGAAGGGTAATTAGGCTGAAGTTCAAGTTTCTGACTTGGCAACTGTGTGGAGAGTCGTCCATTTTATAGCAACAGAGAGTGCAGCTGGGGGAGGGAAATCAAAGGAAGTGTGGTGGCAGGGAAGGATGCGTTCCATCTAGAGCTTATGGAGATAGAGACGCCTGTGGAAATGCAGTGGGACATCTGGAGAAGGCAGTATGTGAGTGAGGGCTGGAGCACAGGAAGGGTAATGTGCAGCAGTGAAGAGACCACTCAGAATTAAATCCAGACCCCCCAAACTAACTGTGACCACAGCTAATTATGTAAATTAGTGAAGTGGAAATAGGACACTTGTGTTATCAATTCCTCCTTTCACTGCGTGCAAACGCTTCACGTCTTTGGGGCTCAGAATCTTTATCTGCCAAACAAGTAGAGTAGAGCAGACATTTGAAAATTGCCTTTGAGGGTTCCCTTTATATTTTCTGAACAACTATGTGCTGTTTATTGCTTAAATCCCATCAGCAGGTAATCTGGAAATTTACATAATTGGCCACAAGGGGGAGAACTCTAATTCTATATTAAGTCATTTTCTCCACTATGAAATAATCTCAGAGTTGGTGATGGGCTGTCTCATTTCTACTTCCTCATGGAAGTTGGGGGAATTCTGAATTGAATTGTGGAAATAACTGAATTGAAATGTGGTTTTGTGTCACTAAAGTTACGATAAAGTCCCTGAATGTAAAAATCTATTTGTATCAAACAATAATTCTCCATGAAGGAATCCAGATGCCTCTTTAATTAAAATGAAGACAGTAAAAATTTTAAATTCACCCTGGGAGGATTTTTCCTTCCAAATAACATTATTTTAGTTAACCTTCATGAAAACTATAACCTTCCCGAAAGCCCTTGGTTACTCTGAAACGAACATAAGAGCATTG